GTTTCTCAGCTTTAGCAGCAACTATTTGGACCATTCACTCCAGCTACTTTCAGAGAGGAATGTAAATCACCTGGCAAGGATGCATTAAGCCTTCAAAAAATGATGAAGCAAAGCAATGAGTGTAACTTGATCAGAAAACACAAGATTAATAAAATATGCATGGAAAGTTGAGTCATTTGCACTAATTAGAGATTTAAGGGAAGTGAAGAATAAATAGGCTCCTGAGACATTTTAAGGGGACAAATAACAATAGAGCTATGAATTGCTGCAATTCTTATTTTCCTTGCACTTTGAGCCCACTCCAGTTCCCGCCTGAGGAAGCTGTAGTTAAGTCTTCACATGCACTGAACACCACATGCTTACAAGTGCATTGTTCTGTCATTCCTGTGGTCACCTACTCTCTCTTCTGATAACTCAAACCCATCCCTCAGTATCTACAGCTATTTTTGTCATTACTGAATGTGTCTGAGGGACTGCTGCTCCACTGAGTTTATACAAACAAAGGCAAGAAAGAATCATGTTTTTCCTGCAACTGAAATGCAAAACAAGACATTTTTAATGCACCTTTTGTCATAGTCACCACTTAACACATTACCCGAATCTTGGTTTACACCTGCAAAGATAAACAGGGAAAAGACACACACAGGATATTTGCCATCCTAAACAGTAGGATCTCCATGGAATGCCAAAATACCAGCCAGGCCTCTTTAAGGGAGTGTGAACCAAATGAAGAGTTGGTGATAGAAGTTCATTAAATCAGGTAAAGATGTAAAAATTAAAAAAATGTGTGTTTGACTTTATTCTTGCACATAATTGCAGATAATCAATACACATTTAAAAAACCCCATAAAAATATATTGTATTAAATCCACAAATTCTGGGCAAACAAACTTTCTTACGAGTACGTACTTCCCCCATGTAACCAAAATACAGGCTCCATGTAGTACAGAATCTTGTGAATGGCATGTACAAAATTATGGGGCTATCAGAACATAGATGTGTTTGAGTCTTTCTTCCTGTGAGAGGTAACTAATTGTCACCATGGACTAGAATTTTCCCTGATAGAATAAACTCAGTTTTTGTCAATACTCTATTTTCTTTTTAGTCCTTGTGTCTAATTTTTCCCCTAGGAATCTGCTCTAGGATTCAGACAAACACTTTTCAGATGTTTGTAAAGGGTGCAGGATGAATCCAGAGCCTCCTTTCTGCAGTCACAAATGCCTTTCTGGACCAAGAGTCCAGGCACAAGTGAGCTCACCTTTTCCTAAGCCTTTCAAAAGGCACTCAAAGGCCATGCACACTGCTGAGCCCGATGCCACAGAGGCTTCCTGAGTGACTCCACCTGAGGGGTTGGTAAAATAAACCTGTGGAAGACACAGAAGAATGCCAACAGTGAAATCCTTCACTCCGTGCCAGAGCTGGGATGTCAGGCCATTTTGTCTTTCCACAGAGTCACGACACAAAAGCCCTCTGCCTTCCAGGAGGCTTCACCCCTTGTTTAGACATTCAGGGTACCACCCAAAGCATATGATAACCACACATGATTTGCATAGCATTTTTTTCCTACACAGTTGGTTAAATTACAGAATTTTGCAAAGAGAAATTGAACGAAGCTGTTAAAATAGAAAATATATATATTTTTGTATAGCTTAAAAATACAATTTTGAAATATCAAACACATGTACTTACTATTTTTCCTTAGTTATCATTAAACTAATAATAGTTGCTCTTATTGTTATATTTAACCCAGAAAGGTATGTCCTAAAAAATTGCAAAACTGTCTAATAAAACTGGATATCAAATTTTGGACAAAAATATTTGCCATCATGCAATAGTGACCAGCAATTAAGACAGATAAGGACTCTAATTCATTATCTCATAAAACCATTGTGTAACTCCAGAGACATTGATGAGCACAAAAATTTGCACTAAGATAAGGATGACAAATACAAACATAAAAGGACTTGTGAACTGAAGTGGGAAACTATGAAAATTAATTCTTCTTATGAGCACTGAAATGAAAATATGCCCCATTGGAAGAGAAGCATTTGTTCTCAAACTCAGTGCTCTCTTGCAAGGGGATTTAAAAAATCTATGAATATTTAAGAGAAAGAAAGCAGCTCACCCTGATTTTCCTACATTTATAATGCATGACTAGTGTTAAACATATTTTTGCCCATATGGAAAAAAACAAGCAAATAGAAATGCTAGAGACATAGAGATACATGCTAATTCCTTTTTTTAAAAGTAACACTCTTCCTCAGGTTAAAGAATAGGACACCCCAAGGCAATTTCTATGCTATTGATGCATAAAATCACAAAAGATGTACCTGTAAATCAACAAACATTTTATTTCCAAGGAAAAACAGTAACATCATTAGTTCAGGGAAATTCAGGGGTCATTTGAATTAAAGACCAAATACCAAGTGACTTCAGTGACAGGAGGAAATGGCTTTTGGGGTTAAACCATCAAGCTGCATTGTGGTCTAGACTCAATTCAATTTTAGTTGTAAGCAGTATCAGTATCATTGTGTAGTTAACTTTTTTCTTGTTCTTTTCTTTACCTTGTATGTACTGATTACACATGACCAGATCCTGAATCCCTCAAGCCAAAGGAACACAGAATATGCTTTGGGTATTCTTGGTGGGGTAAGACCAAAATCAGTTTCTCAGCAGATAAGGAAGAAGAAAATTTAATTGTAAATATTCTTTAATACCTTGTTAGAAATAGACTGTACTGTTCCTAAAAGTTATGAGTAGTGAGTTTTAAGATAGATGGAATTAGAGTTTTGAGATATTAAAAGAGGGACTATCAGTGTGAAAGATCCCCCAAATAAGGAAAGATTTTGGAGCTCTGTGTGTGGGGAGGGTGGTTGTAAGGCAAGACAGTACCAGTTTAATTCCTTGTTAGGTGTATTGCATGATGGTGGTTCTTTAGCATGATTAAACCCTTATTTAAGGCAGGGCAGGAAGAGTTTGGCAGTAGATCTTGCAGATAAAGAGAGCTGCTCTGCTGTGCTCTGGGAAGTGGAGGGGGACCTGAAAGCAGTGGAAGAATACTGGGTCTGCTCTTCAGCAAAATAAAAAAAACACAGCATGTGAGTAATCTGATCTTCAGTCATCAAAGTATGTATTCAAGTCATTCTCAGAATAATGATGGGATTACTCACAGGGGGAAGGTTAAGTGCTTTTGCTGAACTCATATCTGGACAGAAGCCACAGTATTCTATGCAGGTCTTTCTGGAGGTTTTCCCTGCAAACACTGGAACACCCACAGAATTGTAAGAAGCATGAAGACTCCTTTCTGCTTTCTATGTAATTATCTCAGGGAAACTCCCTAAACTTAAATTTACTGATTTTTATTTGCTTTAAAGCATGTTGATCCTCATATAGGTATTATTTTCTCCTAATACCCGGACCAAATTCTAGGACAGTGCAGTGAAGAATAAAATCTTTTGTAAGGGAATATAAACCATTACTCTGGTTTCAGTAGTCATTGAAACTAATAAAACTGTGCAGATATAATTGAAAAATGTGGCCATTAATTTCTACAGCATATAGAATACAGTATTAGAGATATCTTTTAGGGTGGGTACATGGCAAAGATCAAGGAAGACCTGTTTTGATGAGACCATGCCATGAGAATAGGGGCCTAAGAGGGGAAAACACTGATTTCAAACCAGGGAGGACTGAATTCACACAGCCCAGGCAAGAGAGGGCTGTCTGAACCTCAGCACGCAGATGTTCCTGTGCTGCTCACCTCAGACCAAGGGTAGTCAAGCAAAGGAGATGCAGATCCTCAGACAAGAAAGAAACCCCCAGCTCTAGAGAGAGACTGAAAAAGGGGAGGTGGGAGAAAGCCATAAAAGAAGCAGCCAGAATGATGCATTCCTATCTATCAGTTTTCTATGGTCCAGAGTCATAAGACAGAACCACTGCACCAACAATAAGTGTTGATGCACACATGAGGCACAGCAGCAGTGGCATGTTTTGACACTTTGACTAAAACTGTTACTAGTAACTCTTCTATTGATCAGTGTCCTCCAGCTACCATCTTTTGGATTCTATTTTTCTAACTGGTTTTGTGTGATATAATAAGGAAAAAATCAGTTACAGACAGCTGATCTGTGAGAAAAATGGTGAGTGGAAACTGTTTCTACCAAAAATTAATAACTAAATCCACTTCTGTGCAGAGACCCTGAATAAGAGCCATATGCCATTTATTCTTTTCCACTGAAGACTATGAAGACCTTGCTGGAGGCATTTGGCAAAGTTGCTGGTCTAGCTCTTAGAAGTTATGAAAAATCTGATGCTAGATGTAAGCTGAAATAAGTGAGAAAGGGTGCACTGAAATAATGGTCTGGAATGAATGTGACTTTAAATGGGATCAGACAGTTCAGTTTTACCTAAACTAAAACCGCAATAGATCCAGTGAACACTTTTTTTCTAAACCCCTAATAAAAATACAGTTGCCATTCAACAGAATGAATATACAAACTATTTGCACATTTTGCAAACTTAGTATTACTTTTTCAGTCAGAAGCTGTGCCATAGAATACTTTCCTTTTGTTAGCAATGGCACCATTTCTAGTAGAAAACTTGAAAGAAAAAGAATAAATGAGTTTAAAATTATTGATATGACCTGATGCAATGATAAGGCTTCTCTCTTGAATTTTAACACTTTACTGTGTTCTGAAGTCTCAAGCCTGTAACTGGCAGCTGCAACAGGAAGAGACCAGGCAGGGCACTTTGTTGTAGGTTTACAAATCTAACTGCAGAAAATGTGAAGCTAAGAATTGGCATTTTTTTTTTACATACATGTAATCAGGTAGGTTCCAACATTTACAGTAATCATTCCAACTGGTCACAGCAAGTCAGTTTAAAGTCTGGGTAAGTTTGATTAGAGATCTAGAAATCCTATCAATTTTCTGCAGTATCTCAGTCACTTTGAAAAGGTTTCATACAATTCCTGTATTGAAAAGGGAAGACAGAATACAAAGTAAAAGGCACAGATGTTATAGAACAGTCACATTTCTTGAATACAGAGATCATATAAATTAGATAGTGATTAAAATTGGGAACAGCCATTTTGCTGCTGCTTTATTTGTCAGTGCTGACTCTTTCTTGACCAAACATCTCTATCTTTTCTGATGCTGCACCACTATGTGCTGGAGGAGTCTTTTCTGAACAGCTTTTCTTGTTTCTTCCCATTTCTGTAGCTTCCACTAAAGTATTAGTCAATGGTTTTCCCAGTGTTTCTGGAAGCATTATGGTTAAGATTCCACTCAGAAGAGCCATGATTCCAACAAGCAACTGGAAGAAATAAACAGTAGGTGTAAAGGTAAATAAGTCTTTCAATCTGACCATAGTTTTGATCTTGCTTGGGGGTAAATCTATAATAAAGTACAAGGAACTGTAAAGCAAAGATCATAAGTCTTAAATGTTGCCTGTATAAAAGATCTACCTTTTTTGTTGCATAAATGAAAAGATTATGCAGCAGAATTAATGAATGAGCAAGTGAAGTGTTTTGTTCACAAGGGATCAATACAGTGCAAGCAGGAATAGTTCTGTTTGAGTAAACAACACATATTCCTTCATTGAGTATTTCAGTATCAGGAGTGTATTTAAGAACTGATTCTAGGATTGCATACATTTTTTTTTACAGGCGTGTTCACAGAGCTACAATTCCCCTGCCACCTGGAATCTCAATTCACACTCCAACTCCTGTCTGCCTGTACCTGTGTGCTTGTTCCTTGTCTACACAGCCAGACTGGAATTTCTCAATAGGGCTCTTTGGCCCAGAGCCACAGAAGTGCACATCTGTGCTCAGGAGAGCTCTTCAGCATCTGCTAGCTCTCAACAGGAATACTTTGCTAAACTCAGGTTCGAAGAACTGTGAGGAGTGCAGGCATCTACTGACATTTGCACTGAGATCACATTTTGGATTTGTTCCATGGTGTACACAATTCCACAGCAGCACCATAAGTGGTGCAAGGATCAGGATAATGTGGGGTCAGTAGAGAAATACTCACTTGTTCCAGGAATATCTACTCTTTCCATTCACATTCCCTTCACACAGACATTTCTATTTCTTGTTCAATGACACCAATTCCCACTTTGCTCCTCTGAGTACAGAACAGCATTAAACCCCTGACAGTCCTCCAACACCAGGTTATAATGACCTAATTCTCTCCTGATAGAAAAGCTTTCACACAGAACATCCCGCCTGGTCTCAGTGTTTTTCCATTCTGTGACTGTGAACTTTGATGCTGTACTATCCTTATCTTGCCCTGTGCTGATTCTGAAGTCTGTCCTTTGCTCAATGCATTCTTTCCAAGGGTGAGAGAGAACATTTGGAATCACTGTGCCTACATCTCATACAGAGCTTGAGACAAGAGCTGCCCAGCTACCATCTGCAGCTAAGCCAGACTTTAAGTCAGGAAGGTGCTTTAAAATCAGAATTCCCTACTGTAACCTTGAACAGTGCTATTTGCCTGCCTATGCACCATGCTGGTTTTGCTTCTCTTCCCTTCCAAAAAAAAGAGGCATTTGTTTCGTGTATTCTTTTGAGAAGCAAAATGCAGTGTTGCTTACCCTCCTTTTTGCTTTGCAATAAATATAGAGGCCAGACAAAAAAAAAAAAAAAAAAAAAAACTGCTAAATACTACAAACTACAGTGAAAATAAAAGTCATGGTCTTACCATGAAAGTTTAAAAAAACCCAAATCCTAGCAGTAAGAGGACTAGAGGAAATGGCACAAACTGAATGAGATCCTTTTAGACATGTATGTGGCAGGAATGATACTTAAAAATATATTCCAAAATACTAAAATCTCATTTCTGAGTGTCAAATTTCTTCTCTACTATTCAGACATGATTTTCTGACACGGAAAGACAAGATAAATTGACACATGGCAGCTATTCCATAACATCCTCTTTTATGTACACCCTTTAGTCTGTCAGAAGTTTATAACTGAGGATATTTGGGTCTGTAATGGATATTGAATCTTAGGGACACCCATAAATTTGGAGTGTATGAGAACTGGGTCACTAGTGGTACTCAAAAGAACAAGCTTAAAGTAACACTGTGTGCTTTGAATATGTGTGTCTTTTCTCTTTTCATTATTCTTTTTAGACACTTGGCATTCTTCTCATGTTTTCCCTCCTCATGAACCTACCTCTCATTATTCCCCTGAGAACTCTCACTATTCTGTAAGTGTACACACCACCATCTTTCCTGCTTTTTATCTCAGCTCTCATAACTCTATTTCATCCCATGTTAGTTTCCTTTTTTTAACCCCTCTTGTATGAAAGCTGCTGCATGCTGAGTAATGCTGCATGCTGCATGCTGCATGCATTCAGTACATTTCCCTTCTCCCTGACCCTCAAACCCTTTTCCAGTATTTCCTACAACACACAGAGTATGAAACAATCAAGTCACAGTGTATTAATTCAACGACATCTACCTTTTCAAGGGCAGTAGCCACAGTTATCAATGAAGGAACTCACATTTGGTAAATGCAACTCTTTTGCAGTCTTGGCACACTTCTTCATAAGCATCTGACATAATTTAACCCTCACTACAAAGGTATGCATTTTGCATGTATGTATTTACTACTTTAAATACAGAATTCAGTATCAGAAAATATTCTCCTGGTATAGTCAAATGCTTATGTGTACAAATAAAGTGTATTTGTGTTATTGAAGAAGGTATTTAAGTATGTTGAAGTTAATTTGACAGTTATACGTGGTTAAATGCATTGTGTTTTCAGGGTGTTAATTTGAAATCTGACTTCTTGCTTAGTCAAACTCTTAAGAGTGTCCCCCAACATTTCAGTACAATCAGTAGGTTCTAACAGATACCATAGAAACCTTCAGAAAATATGTACCATTATTTTTCTTATGTCCTCTTCCCTTTCTGGACCAGCATTTATAATTCTGCAGTGATCTGAGACTAGGACTTGATAGATATACTCCAGAAGAAAAGATAATTCGAATTAAATATCCCTACAAAATAATACCTTTACTTCTGAACACAAATTATTATTATAGTTTGCTATTTATGTTTATATTCACATCTGATGCCTCTGAACCAATCTAAAATGTGATCTTATTGACAAAGTTCTTACTTCAACAAAAAAAGGTTATATTTCGACACAAAAAACCAGTAGTATTTGACTGAGGGTTTGTAATCATTTATTAACACCAGTGTGGACTTTTTAAATTTCTAATTTATGTTTTTTCTGAGAGAAAAATCAACCCTGTTAAAGAGCTATTGCAACATAACTCTTAACAGCTGAGAAACAGAAATAGGTTATATAAGGAGTAGTTGTTTTACTGCACATTTTCTATAAAGTTGTCACATGAAAAACATATTTGGCAAGTTATTAAATTTATAGACTTATTGAAGATTTATAGCCACTCAAGATGCTTGCAGTACTCACAGGTGGCATAACTGTGCATGAGGCAGAGTGCCAAACAAACAGCAGTAGTAACTGTTCAACAGTGTGTGTGTTTGCAATAGATCAGGGTGATGTGGATCAGTTTACTTACAAATGTAATCCATTTGATTTCACTTCCATTCCAAAACACTTACTTGACCTGAGATTTGGCACGCTATGCTCTAACTCAAGACAAGCCTATTTAATAAGTTGACAAATGCTCCATAACAGGAGCTAATAATGGAAACGTTCACTGTGAACTACTACTCAACTCTACAAAAACTCTGGATAACTTTTGTACCCTGAGAGTGGTTCATAGCTGAAATAATTCCTGTGCTTATACTGCCATTTGCACTGCTCTCCAAAACATTTGAGCAGTTCCCCATCTGTGGTTTGACTGCAGCACTTCTGCACAGATAAATCTTATTTCAGAGTAAAGGCAAAATGCTGACAAGAGGAAAAAAGAAATGTTTTCCCATGACCACTCTGCTGTGCAAATGTTTCTTTGTCTTTTCTGGGATCATATATTGGTGGAGAAATTGTTAAGAGAGAAAACATTTTTAGGAACTTGAATAAATAAATTCATTTGTGGTCTCCTTCATCCTCTTAGTTTTCATTAAAAACAACCAAAAGTAATTAATTTAAGTAATGAAATGAGCTCACAAGAATTTTATGAAACAATCTATAATTAAAGATTTTTTTAGTTGCCAAATCAAATGCCCTTGTTTAGGAAACTTCAATATGGTGGATAAAATTTGACTATGAATCCAGGTTAAAGACACATCCCATTACACTTTCACTTTCTGACATGTATACTCTACATATAACAGCAGTGCCCTAGTCACAGTGAATTCTAAGGGGTTTTTGAGAGAATTTAAACTATTCTAAATCATTAATAAACATTTCTTTACCTAAAAATTTAATACAAATTTTGGAATTCCATCTGATTTTACATATATAAGCATAATTTATCCTTCAGGAGAAAAAAAGGATTGAATTGCTGCAGGATTTCTAAGCAGCAAATGCTTCATAACAGAAATGCAATGAAGAAATGTGATTCATGTGTGAGTAGGGAACACATAAAATATTTTGTAGTAGTGGTTTTACTACATAATGCCCAAAGTCCACAAAGGAATGGTCCCACCTCTCTTTTCTGGGACAACTGGTGGTAAAAGACAAAACCTAATGGTAACCTGACCTGCTTCTGGTGCTTGTTAAAGTCATCATGAAGCTGATCAATTTACCATTTCTTTATCTTTTTCTATCTCATGAATTGTTTTGTTCAGTTCTGGTGAAAAACACAGAACAAGAGCTTTGGGACAGGTGAGGTGAAAAAATACAGTAAGCACAACACCTTCTTGATCTTTTGGGAGGCTCTTCCAAAGATGCAACCTCCCAAAGAAGCCATGGAAAATGTTAAGGCATAATGTAAGAAAATCCAGCTACCTGTGGTTACTTCAGGAGTGGAAGAACTATGCCTTTGAAAAAAAGTTAAAGTAAATCAGGAGCATAGTCAAAAGCTGCTAGGCCTGCAAAAAAGTCTGGACTACGACACTTCCTAAATGCTACATGATAAGTGCAAAATATTTTTATCAATTTTATGCTAGGATTCAGAGCATAATTATTTTTCTGTCTTCTATTATAAAAACTTTTCTGAATATTTCAGCGATTCAAAGTCTCTCTTTTGCTTCAGCAGCATATTTTTAACAATATGAGGCTACTAGAATTGGGACTTGAAAATTTCAAACTAGAATGGTTTACTCAATTTTCTTTTTGAAATAAATGTTCAGCTTTACTTTCTTTGTCACGTGAAAAACATACTTAGTAAGTTACAAAGAGAAAAAAAGTGACCCATACACCTTTTCAAAAAACATTCACCATTGAAATAAATACCTACAAGTGGCATGAAAATCCAGACACTTCTCAAATAAACACAGAAAGGAGCAACCACACTTCCTACACGGCACATCATGCTTCCACTTCCAACAGCAAGTGATCTACATGGAAAAGAATTTGAGTAAGAATTCTGGCAGTTAAAGGAAACAATTAGAAATGCACAGACACTTAAAACATCAGTAAGATTTGTGTCTTTAAGCAATTATACTAAGAAGCTGTTGCTATGCCAATGTAAATTTATATTGTAGTGAAATGCAGCTGCTTCTGTAATTAAGATTAAAAATATAATTGTCATTCAGCACAGATCATGGGATTAATAACCAGGATTTATAAGAAAGGCATAAAACATGTTTAAGAAAGTACTGAGTATTCTTCTAGTTCCCCAGTAGAACCTACCAATGCACATGGAATGCAAAATAAATAAAAACCATGGTACAACCAAACTCCAGACAGCTCTGAGGCAGCTGAGGAACTCATACCATCCCAAGTCTTTCAGATCACCCCCACTGATGCCAAGAGCTGCTGGATCTTGTGTAGAACAACAAATTAATGAATGAAAATTAATTAATTAATGAAAAATACATAACTGGCCAAAGTTCTTACCTTACTATTGTTGGGTACAGTTCTGCTGTGTAGAGATATATAAGGCCAAATGCCACACCTATGGAAAATTTTCCAGCCATATTTGCTAAGATAATTAATATATTGAAATCCTAATGAAAGAGAGCACAAATAAATATATCACCAGAAAATTACACCCTTCCAAACATAATTTACGTTCTTCAAAAGTTGTGACACTTCTTTAAACAATAAGCAATACTCATTGCTTGCTTTTTAAAAATTGCTCAATAAGTTACTAGTTTCCACATCACTTTTTACCAGTCCTGGTTCACTGAAGCCCTGGGAGCATTTTATGTGTGACTCCAGCAATGACATTGAAACTTGTACTGAAAATACAGAAATCTATCTTAGACTGGAAGCTGCAACTTAAAACCAGCCTTTAATTAACTATTCTGTGATTTAGAAAGAGCAGCTGCATCTACTGACTTAAGAGCCTTTAAAATCAATTTCTGCTATAGGAACACTTCCAAGCATACATGACTAACCTGAGGTATGAACATAATTAAAACACAGATCAGTGCACTTAAAATAAGGAACGGAATGAGTGTGTTTCTCCTTCCCAGTTTGTCCATCGCAACGCAAGCAATGATATAGCAAGGCAACTCCACAGCACCTGTCAGTATGAAATTATCTCAGTTTAAGTCATGATTGCACATATTCATCTCATAACTGTAACTTCCTCTTTATGGGGAATTTATCTGATCCAGGGGCTAGTAACACAAGTAATATCTAAAGATAACCAGTGTGTTGGGCTAGTTCATTTGGTTACAGAAAGTGTGACAGAAGGCAGAGAACAGCCTAAAATACGGAAGTGGGAGTGGAGAAGGACAAGGGAAACAGGTTTCACAGCACAAAGCAGCTCCAGTTCTCTTTGGGGTGGAAAATTACAGAAAAGAGCAAGGCCACAGTTCTGTTTCTATGACACTGACACTTCTGTCTGAAAGCTCTACATTTGCTGTTTTTCTCCTTTGGGCATTTTCACATTAACAGCTCAAGTGTGCCCACAGGGAATATTGCTGGTGTCACTCAGACACACCTCTCAGGATTTGGCAGCTTCCACCTGGACAGGAAACAGTAGCCACACCAGAATCAGTTCAAAACCATCTCAAAGTAAAAGGCAAGAAAGGTCTGTCCACATCCAGTTTTCTGAGTAAGCCCCACTAATACAGAGTGCAGTTCCAGCTTTCTCCCTTCTCCCTGAAAAAGAGGGCTTACAATAGCCCGCTCTTAATACAGATCATCCTGTCCTAATGTTCCTTTCCAGAGAAAAACTTCTGCTGCTCTAAAGGTCCTGGCATTTGGCTAGACCTGTTTGCCCTGTGTAAACATGATTTGCCCCTAGACAAATAATACTGAGCCAAAGCCAGTCTGGACACGTTTTAAGCCAATTTGCTCAGGAAGAATGGTACTATGTCCAATAGAAAACCAAGGAAGAACGTAAGATACAGCCCTGAACAGCCTGGATTCCTTTATTAAGTACATATAGCATGTCAATACACCTGTAATATCAGGAAACAGTATTTTGGGGTTGTGTTGGAAAAAGCAGGTTGTAATTATTCAGGGTCTGTTAGTCTGCTAAAATATTTTTAGAAGAGGTGGGTACAGTGAACTCCACAATAGCAGTTTAGTTATCTGTGCAATACCAGCACCCACTCTTCAACACATCAGTCTAACAATACACTGTAATACAGGGCAAAACAAACTAGAATAATGAGAGCCCCAGTCCTTCTGTGAGCCTGTGTACACCATCAGTCACATTCACTTCACTGAGAGTACTCAGCTGCACAAAGCAAAGCACATGATTTAATTCTTCACTGCCTCAGAGCTGCAAGTCTGATCTAGAGTCTTCTGAAGTCAGTGGAATATTTTTACTGATGTTAACAAACTTTGGATCAAGCCCTGAATGCACTTTAGCTGCCTTTGTAAACAACTTACATGCCAGAGAAAGATTACAGCCAGAATGATAAAATTAAAAGAGTATTACCACTTAATTAAAAAGACACTTCTGAGAAAAAGAAAATGACTCTTCCTTCTGACGATTATGACTATGTTTTCTACACAGCCAAACTCAATATATCATGACTGTAAGTGATAAAAGGAATATTTTTTCTCCCATTTTCCTAGTTTGTGCCTTTAACAGAGCTGTGTGAATTTTGTATTGCTTGTCTGCTTCCCCTGGTGTTTGTGTGGATTTGCTATAAGCTTCCAAGGCAAAGAGAAGACAAGCCAGAATATGGTTTTACAATCAGAAAGACAGAGAAGAATTCTGTGCACCCACAAATTCTAATTTTTTTTTCTCAGATACAGTGGAATTTGGAGTGAATGATACTATGTTAGTCAATTTTATGAAAAGTTAGCAAGAAACTTTTCAAACAAGGTTCACAATTGAATGAACAAAGTAAAAAATTGGCTGTCAAATCTATAGACATTTTTAAATGTTTGTTCCAGTTCTGTCATTAACAGAATAAGGTACAAGAATATTTACCTATGAGAAAGAGATTTAAATATTCATTGCCTCCTAGACTGACAGAACTGAGGGAGAAGACGTAGTACCCCAAGCTCCCAGTGAACCAGATCAGCCAGACTGTGATGGTCCTTCTTGCAATTTGCCAGTTACAAAACAGGTCTAAGATGTTGTGCTTCTTTGCTGAGGATGTATCATCATCACCCATTCTGCCACTGGCCACATCGTCTTGTTGGACTGAGCACAGTTCAGAAACTTTGCAGGGAGTGCTGACTTTATTCCATCTTGCCATTGTATCAATCACTTTCTGTGCATCTTCATATCTTTCCTCTGACAGCAGCCAAAAAGGTGTTTCTGGGAGCATCCAGCAGCACAAGACAAAGGGAAGAGTTGCTATGGATAGAAATATCTGATAGACCCACCAGGTCCGAACCAAAAATCCCACGAGTGCCACAATCATAATTCCCATAGCAAAAAAAGCATGGACATGCATAGAAGCCCAGGTTCGTGCTTTAATGCCAACAAATTCAGTCACATAAACAAAAGCCACAACCAGATAGCCACTTGAAACCTGGGAAGATGGGAGAGAGAAAAGAAAAAAACAAAACAAAAAACAGAGT